GTCAACGAGGACTGCCTGGAGAACCAGGCTTTAAAGGACTGGCTGGACCACAGGTAAGGAGTTCAATCAATCAGTCAGTCAATCAAATGTTATTTATAATTGACACTCACCTATTCACAACCCATGTAGCAACAATAACATACGTAGGGCACTATAAACTCCATAGAATTTTTGCCTAATTCCGTTTTGTTAGAAAAACAACAAAATTGGATGTTCTAAGTCCACTACAATGCTTAAACCACATCTGGAGACAATTTCTGAGGTCTGGGCAAAAATCTAATACATTTTGATTTTGGAGTGTAGCCTAGTTACCCTTTATTTCAAGTGCGTACCTAGCAATAGGCAGTTTTTTAGCAGTGTTTTTGCACAAGTGATGGTAGAGTTTGCAAAACAAATAACCTGAATTGATGCAAATAATCATGATATCATTCTGCCAGGTAAGCATAGGATACTTTGTAGTTAACATTTAATTGAGAAGACGGTTTTCCTTAGCATCCTCGCTAATGGCTACACAAAGTGGTAGAGAGGGGCATTCTCATGCCGTTGCGTCATCAGAAAGTTGCAGGAAATACGAATCACTGATGCATTCTGTTCACGTCTTATGATAAACCTGGACAAATTAAATCATTTTCAATACGTTTAGTTCATTCCCAGTTAACCTCAATAAAAAATAAAATGGTTGAATTCCGTTTTAATGTCTGGATTCCGTGATTCAGTCCGCGTTCTCTGCACCGCATATTTTATAGGTCCCTACATAAGGTGTCATCCATTGGAAAATAGAAAAACAAAACTCTACATAATTTAACATACTATACTGAATGATTTCAGCTTCCTTCATATCCTTAAATGTCTGGCAAGTTTGTTTGTAATCCCTTTCAATTCAGGGCCCAGAAGGTGACATTGGCCCTAAAGGAGAGACTGGGAGACAAGGAGACCCTGTAAGTTCAGGTTCTTTACGGCAGTATATTTGTTCTCAGTTACATGTCTGATAATACTACACTGCTCAAAAAAATAAAGGGAACACTAAAATAACACATCCTAGATCTGAATGATGAATGAAATAATCTTATTAAAATCTTATTAAATACTTTTTTCTTTACATAGTTGAATGTGCTGACAACAAAATCACAAAAAAATTATCAATGGAAATCAAATGTATCAACCCATGGAGGTCTGGATTTGGAGTCACCCTCAAAATTAAAGTGGAAAACCACACTACAGGCTGATCCAACTTTGATGTAATGTCCTTAAAACAAGTCAAAATGAGGCTCAGTAGTGTGTGTGGCCTCCACGTGCCTGTATGACCTCCCTACAACGCCTGGGCATGCTCCTGATGAGGTGGCGGATGGTCTCCTGAGGGATCTCCTCCCAGACCTGGACTAAAGCATCCGCCAACTCCTGGACAGTCTGTGTTGCAACGTGGCGTTGGTGGATGGAGCGAGACATGATGTCCCAGATGTGCTCAATTGGATTCAGGTCTGGGGAACGGGCGGGCCAGTCCATAGCATCAATGCCTTCCTCTTGCAGGAACTGCTGACACACTCCAGCCACATGAGGTCTAGCATTGTCTTGCATTAGGAGGAACCCAGGGCCAACCGCACCAGCATATGGTCTCACAAGGGGTCTGAGGATCTCATCTCAGTACCTAATGGCAGTCAGGCTACCTCTGGCGAGCACATGGAGGGCTGTGCGGCCCCCCAAAGAAATGCCACCCCACACTATGACTGACCCACCGCCAAACCGGTCATGCTGGAGGATGTTGCAGGCAGCAGAACGTTCTCCACGGCGTCTCCAGACTCTGTCACGTCTGTCACGTGCTCAGTGTGAACCTGCTTTCATCTGTGAAGAGCACAGGGTGCCAGTGGCGAATTTGCCAATCTTGGTGTTCTCTGGCAAATGCCAAACGTCCTGCACGGTGTTGGGCTGTAAGCACAACCCCCACCTGTGGATGTCAGGCCCTCATACCACCATCTTGGAGTCTGTTTCTGACCGTTTGAGCAGACACATGCACATTTGTGGCCTGCTGGAGGTCATTTTGTAGGGCTCTGGCAGTGCTCCTCCTGCTCCTCCTTGCACAAAGGCGGAGGTAGCAGTCCTGCTGCTGGGTTGTTGCCCTCCTACGGCCTCCTCCACGTCTCCTGATGTACTGGCCTGTCTCCTGGTAGCGCCTCCATGCTCTGGACACTACGCTGACAGACACAGCAAACCTTCTTGCCACAGCTCGCATTGATGTGCCATCCTGGATGAGCTGCACTACCTGAGCCACGTGTGTGGGTTGTAGACTCCGTCTCATGCTACCACTAGAGTGAGAGCACCGCCAGCATTCAAAAGTGACCAAAACATCAGCCAGGAAGCATAGGAACTGAGAAGTGGTCTGTGGTCACCACCTGCAAAACCAGTCCTTTATTGGGGGTGTCTTGCTAATTGCCTATAATTTCCACCTGTTGTCTATTCCATTTGCACAACAGCATATGAAATGTATTGTCAATCAGTGTTGCTTCCTAAGTGGACAGTTTGATTTCACAGAAGTGTGACTGACTTGGAGTTACATTGTGTTGTTTAAGTGTTCCCTTTATTTTTTTGAGCAGTGTATTACATATAGACAGTTGTGAATTAAGTCTTGCTTCTCTTCCAGGGTCTTCAAGGATTGCAGGGTACGCAGGGCACCCGTGGACTGCCTGGCAATGTGGTAGGTTAATTTTGTGGAAATGACAACCCAAAAACATTTTGTTGGTGTTCGAGGACATCCCTAATGCTTTAAACTTTAACCTAATGTGTGCCCTGAACTTCTCTCTCTGTCTATAACACAGGGCATCCCTGGAACCATTGGACCACCTGGAATAGCTGGACAGAGAGGAGAGAGGGTCAGTAACCTAATCACTGCTATATGGATCAAAACACGTGATCTCAAATGTGTTGGTCTAGGGATATCATATTGTAACTCGTAACTGATGTGTTGTAGGGATATCATATTGTAACTCGTAACTGATGTGTTGTAGGGATATCATATTGTAACTCGTAACTCATGTGTTCTCGGGACATCATATTGTAACTCGTAACTCGTGTCCTAGGGACTTTCTATTGTAACTCTGTCACGTACGTTAAGAAACGGGTCGGACCAAGGTGCAGCGTGAAAGGCGTACATGTTTATTAAGTAATAAACGCACGACACAGTAACCAAAATAACAAACTTAACCGTGACGGTCCAAAGGGCTAACACACAAGCCTAAACAGGAACACAACAAAATCCCACAACACAGGCAGGAAAACTGGCTGCCTAAGTATGATCCCCAATCAGAGACAACGAGCGACAGCTGCCTCTGATTGGGAACCACACCCGGCCAAACATAGAAATACAAACCTAGAATATTCACACCCTGACCAAACTAGCTAGAGTTCTATAGGCCAGGGCGTGACAAACTCGTGCTGTATGACTGACTATGCTATGCTATGCTACGCTAGGCTATGCTCATCTCCCTGTGTGTGGTGTGTTCCAGGGAGAGTTGGGGAAGGAGGGTCGTGCTGGCCCCCCAGGCCCTCCTGGAGATGCAGGCATACAAGGACCCCCTGGCCTACCAGGGAAGGGCAAAGACGGACAGAATGTAAGATACATCACTCTTCATAAGAAGTTCAAACCTTGTTGTTACGGCCAGGAGTTTCTCCTGTCTGTGTGACCACTATAAACAAGGTCAATAGATTTGCCTGGTCTTGTGGCGTAGTCAGGAAAAGCTCCTGACTACAGAGTTAACACATATCTAACTTGTTATCCACACTCTAAGAAATATGAACAAGAGTTTGTTGGCACTTATCCAATCAGGCAATTAAGACCTCAGGCTCTGGAGTTTCAAATTAAAAGCCCTTCACATCCTGTACGTGTATTGGCTGCACGTGTACATAAATCAACATGCATTTAAATACAACCATATTAAAATATGACTGGTTACGTTAGTACCGTACAACCCACATTATGCAGTTCTGCCAGTGATTTGACCTGGAACCTTTTTACTCCTTTTCTACAACACAGACATATGGTGATAGTGCTGAGAAAGCAAACACAGAAACAACACACAGCTTTATCACATGAAACTAATGAAGGAACCCAGCAGGACGGTGTACAGGTGCTGTGTGTGTGTGTGGTTCATAACAGTTCCATTTTACTACTGTCAGCTGCTGGCCTATAACATATAATCCTAGCCTCAAAAGCAGTGCACTATACAGGGAATATAGGGGCACCCATTTATGTTATACTATAAGACTTGACATGCCACGTGTTTGATTTGACCAGCCAGTGGGCTCATAATAGTGTTATGTGTGATATTATATTACAGGGTGATCCTGGACAGCAGGGAATTGAAGGACCTCCCGGCCAGAAGGTAACTCATTTTAAAGTTGGGTTGGGGGAGGAAGGGAGTGAGGGGTAGTGAGAAACATTAGTGCCTTGAAATCAGGGGTGATTCTATCTGGTGACTAAATGAAGAAAATTATCAATTTTGGTTGCACTAAAGCAATTTTCTGTGACCAGCATACTGTGACTAACACAGTGATTTAACAACAACTTTTTGAGGAGAGAGAGAGAGAGAGAGAGAGAGAGAGAGAGAGAGAGAGAGAGAGAGAGAGAGAGAGAGAGAGAGAGAGAGAGAGATAGACCGCAGAGGAGAGAGAGAGAGAGAGGAGAGAGAGAGAGAGAGAGAGAGAGAGAGAGAGAGAGAGAGAGAGATTTTTTTCTGTTGATTCTATCTCTGTTGTTGTTAAACCATCCTCCCTGGTCACCTTTATGATTGCCAAACTGAAACTTCAGATTGGATTCTCTGTTGTTAGACATAAACACACGTGATGTATCTTGCCTGAGCAGCCAAGACCTGCAGAGATCAACAACCACTCTGCTCAGAACAGCAGAACTCTCTGAGCCAAACAAAACGAGCCAAACAAAATGATATTGCAGCAATGTCATTAGAAAGTATTGGCTATTGCATTAACAGGACACAGTGTCCCCTGGTTGGATGGTGACCAAGGTTCTGTTGGTGCCTTACTGGATGGTAACCAAGGTTCTGTCTGTGTGTTCCAGGGCCAACCTGGATCCCAGGGACTTCAGGGGGTTCCAGGGGACAGGGGTCCTCCAGGAGAAGGCAAAGTCGGACCCCCGGTATAGACACACACACACACACACACACACACACACACACACACACACACACACACACACACACAGGCACATTCAATCTTGCTGCATATTTTGAACATTTTGAACTTTTTCTTTTACAGGGACCTTCAGGGCTCAATGGTGCAGTTGGACCGTCGGTAAAACCATTTTGGACATTTTGTCATAATTATGCTCAGCCTTAGTGTGACAAAGTGTAAACACAAACGGAGTAATGTTCAAATAAAAATTCAACTGACTGCTGTTTGTTTCCTGGTTCAGGGCATGAGAGGTCTGCCAGGCGTCGCTGGTACACAGGGACCAGCAGGACACAATGGTTTACCAGGAAGACCAGGAGATAAGGGATCCCCAGGAGAGCCAGTAAGTTGACGTGTACAGTAAATGGGCTTGGAAATGTCCCAACAACACAGCAAACTGAGACCAAATACTGTACCTTCACTTTTTTTTGTCACTACACTGACATGATAGCATACCTATGGGGATGTATTCAAACGCATGATGTGATATCAGTGTGAAGTGTATAAGTCCAATCAACCTTTGTATAATAATGGACACCATCTCTTTCAGGGAGCAGCTGCAGACCTGTCGGATTTGAATCTGAAGGTAAGGAGGAGAGCCTCATTACCATAGTACTGTTTCCTCCATCTTGTTAAATGATCCTGAGACAGACAGATTCTTTCATCACTAAGTGTTTCTCCTTGTCCTTCAGGACATATGTTCAGACTGCCCAGCCGGGCCCCCGGGACAGTCTGGTCTGCCAGGGACACCAGGAGACAAGGGACACGCTGGACCCCCAGGAAAGAACGGACAGGACGGGTACCAAGTAAGGACAAAGTCATAGTACCATGCCATATATTGTATGATAAAGGTATCCCTTACTGGGAGATACTCATCCTGAATCATGAATTGGATTAAAATGATCCTCTCCATACCACTTCTTCATGCTCTTAACCAGGACTGCCCAACCCTGTTCCTGGAGAGCTACTGTCCTGTAGGTTTTTGCTCCTACCCTAATCTAGCACACCTGATTCTAATAATTAGCAGGTTGAGAAGATGAATCAGGTTGGTAACACCTGGGGTTGGAGCGAAAACCTACAGGAGGGTAGCTCTCCAGGAACAGGGTTGGGCAACCCTGCTCTAAACACTGCAAAGAGGACTTTGTTTAACTTCATAGAAGTAGTATGTCTCAGACAGTAGCCTAGGAGAAGAGCGAGGAGTCTCCTGTATCCATCACACTGTGTTTGACTGAAGTGGCGGGAAGCTAACAGCCTGGCTCTCTCAGCATCGTTAGGCTTACTATCCTCTGGGGGGTACAGTGAATGATCAGGACCTGTAGACAGGGCTGCTGATGGTCTTTTTAGAGAGCCGGAGAGAGAGAGAGAGCGAGAGAGAGAGAGAGAGGGAGAAAGAGGGGAAGCGGGGGAGAGACAAAGACAGACAGACCAGAAAGAAAGATGTAGAGAGAGAGCCTTTAGTTAGCCAGAGACTGATGGTGTCTCTGTGTCATTATCATTACAGGGCCAGGCAGGCCCGACCGGACCCACTGGATCCCCAGGAGCCAACGGAGAGAAAGCAAGTCCTCCTCAACCACACCCGCTTATCAACCACACACATCTATCTTCCATAGAACATTCATTATTGAGTTCAAGACCTGAAACCATCCAGTGGTTTGTGTCTGTTATGTCACCTGCCATATAACACAGTGGACAGAGGTGATATGTATTATTTATTGTTCGCTCCACAGGGTGTGAAAGGTGATAGAGGACCCCAAGGAGGACCTGGAGACAAAGGTGAAAAGGGCCACACCGGACCCCCTGGCCACCCCGGTGCTGCTGGTATCATTGGTAATCCTGTGAGTACCTGTACCTGCCTGGTGGTATTACCAGTACCTACCATATCCCATCGTCTGTCAACCTGCTCTTTTGCTATTTAGTATCACCAACTCCTATGGTCATTGCAGTAGGATGAATGTTCTTTCTGACTCTTGCCTCTTCGTCTCTCTGTAGGGTAACGACGGTCAACCCGGCCCCATCGGTCCCCCAGGAGCCCCTGGAGAAAAAGTCAGGATGTTGTCAATGTGTTTTATATTCAGACAGCATATTACACTACATGTCATTAGTTTTATACCAGCCTTGTCCCACTGGCTGGCCATATAGGTCAACTGGGATGAGTGTTGTGGCAGAGGACATTAATCATCATAGTGTTGTTGTTGATTTATCATGGTTGAAACTGTGGAACTATCTTGTGTTTGTTTTCTCTCTGCAGGGCAAGGAGGGGATGAAGGGAATCCAGGGGCCACCAGGTCTACCAGGCTTAATGGTGAGAAACAATGTTGATAAAGTTTTGTGAAGGAGTCGAAATGATCTGCTAAAGACTTAAAATAGTTTTGGTGTGGTAGTAACAATATCACTATAACCTCTGTCTCACGCTATCCATGAAAACATACGTGTAATTTATGGAGTGGAATGTGAATAAACAGTTTGAAACCCAAGGCTAAAAGCAAGAAAGACTAAATGCTGAATAACCTTGTTCCATAGGGTCAAATGGGTAAAATTGGCAAAGATGGCCGACCAGGAGAACAAGGAGAACCGGTGAGTACACATGATATGGCCTGACTATATTCCCAGGATATTCTATATGTCCTGTATATCCTGTTAGGGCTTCATTCATGGATATATTATGTACATGATCAGTCAAAATGGTCCCTTTTTATACAGCTGAAGTCGGAAGTTTACATACACTTAGGTTGGAGTCATTAAAACTGGTTTTTCAACCACTCCACAAATTTCTTGTTAACAAACCATCGTTTTGGCAAGTTGTTTAGGACATCTACTTTATGCATGACACAAGAAATGTTTCCAACAATTGTTTACAGACAGATTATTTCACTTATAATTCACTGTATTATAATTCCAGTGGGTCAGAAGTTTACATACACTAAGTTGACTGTGCCTTTAAACAGCTTGGAGAAATCCAGAAAATAATGTCATGGCTTTAGAAGCTTCTGATAGGCTAATTTACATCATTTGAGTCAATTGGAGGTGTACCTGAGGATGTATTTCAAGGCCTACCTTCAAACTCAGTGCCTCTTTGCTTGACATCATGGGAAAATCAAAACAAAATCAGCCAAGACCTCAGAAAAATAATTGTAGACCTCCACAAGTCTGGTTCATCCTTGGGAGAAATTTCCAAACAGCTGAAGGTACCACGTTCATCTGTACAAACAATCTTACGCAAGTATAAACACCATGGGACCACGCAGCCGTCATACCGCTCAGGAAGGAGACGCGTTCTGTCTCCTAGAGATGAACGTACTTTGGTGCGAAAAGTGCAAATCAATCCCAGAACAACAGCAAAGGACCTTGTGAAGATGCTGGAGGAAACAGGTACAAAAGTATCTATATCCACAGTAAAACAAGTCCTATATCGACATAACCTGAAAGGCCGCTCAGCAAGGAAGAAGCCACTGCTCCAAAACCACCATAAAAAAGCAAGACTACGGTTTGCAACTGCACATGGGGACAAAGATCGTACTTTTTGGAGAAATGTCCTCTGGTCTGATGAAACAAAAATAGAACTGTTTGGCCATAATGACCATCGTTATGTTTGGAGGAAAAAGCGGGAGCTTGCAAGCCGAAGAACACCATCCCAACCGTGAAGCACGGGGGTGGCAGCATCATGCTGTGGGGGTGCTTTGCTGCAGGAGGGACTGGTGCACTTCACAAAATAGATGGCATCATGAGGAAGGAAAATTATGTGGATATATTGAACTAACATCTCAAGAAATCAGTCAGGAAGTTAAAGCTTGGTCGCAAATGGGTCTTCCAAATGGACAATGACCCCAAGCATACTTCCAAAGTTGTGGCAAAATGGCTTAAGGACAACAAAGTCAAGTTATTGGAGTGGCCATCACAAAGCCCTGACCTCAATCCTATAGAAAATCTGTAGGCACAACTGAAAAAGCGTGTGCGAGCAAGGAGGCCTACAAACCTGACTCAGTTACACCAGCTCTGTCAGGAGGAATGGGCCAAGATTCACCCAACTTATTGTGGGAAGCTTGTGGAAGGCTACCCGAAACGTTTGACCCAAGTTAAACAATTTAAAGGCAATGCTACCAAATACTAATTGAGTGTATGTAAACTTCTGACCCACTGGGAATGTGATGAAATAAATAAAAGCTGAAATAAATCATTCTCTCTACTATTATTCTGACATTTCACAATCTTAAAATAAAGTGGTGATCCTAACTGACCTAAGACAGGGATTTTTTACTAGGATTAAATGTCAGGAATTGTGAAAAACTGAGTTGAAATGTATTTGGCTAAGGCGTATGTAAACTTCCGACTTCAACTGTACATGGCACAATATGTGCCCCCTTCATATTTACCTGCACATCATTCCCTTGGTGTGTAATCTAACTCTGTGTTGGGATTTCAGGGTAAACAAGGAGAGCCAGGACCATCAGGACAACCAGGTCTCAGGGGAATGCCTGTGAGTAACTGTGGGAAGGATTATTTAACTGTGTGGCTAATGGAGATATAATTTCAGTAATAAAACATTGTTGGTGTATTCATGTTGATCATTCTTTCCACACAGGGCTTCAAAGGTCACAGAGGAGAGCCTGGACAACCAGGTTCAAAGGTCAGCCCATTGACTCCCATGTCACCATTCTCAACACATTAGATGACTAGGCCATAACGTGGTGAATAACGTGGTTAGGCATATGTCTTCCCTGGTCTGTCAAGATCAAATCATCTCACTCTCAAAATTGTGACACATGCCTACTCTTATTAAATCTCACTCTGCTCTCAGCTCTAGGATACAATACCTGCCACAGCAGTGTGACCAATAGCATGTCTCAATATAGTGTGACCTATTATTGTGTGACCAATAGCATGCCTCATTACAGACACCACTGAGACACAGTGCCAGGCTCACATCCCCTCCAGCCTGTTCTCTGGCAGAGATAGACCACTCATGATTGCAACTTCCTTATGCCATTGCTGCCCAAGTGCATCACTATAACACATATCTTAAGACAGAGGCTTATGTTACATAGACTTCTGTCTATCTCCATGTGAACCTATGGATTTTATAGACCACATTGGATGGATAAGAGTGTCTCACCTTGACCCCCCTTTCTATAGCTATAATCAAAACATTTTCCTGAGGGCTTCATTAGGAAAGAGAGGCTTACTGTGAATTGATTGGTTGCATTGATTAATATGTTTCTGTCTTCGACCAATCAGGGTGAAGATGGAAAGGAAGGACGTAGTGGACCGGAGGGTAAACCTGGCCAAGACGTGAGTGAGAACACTAATATAACCAATCATAACTATGCAATTATCAACATACAGGGAATGTCTTAATAATATATGCGTTGTGTTTGTTTGTGAAGGGTAATACTGGACCACCTGGACCAGAAGGCCTGGCTGGCCGGAGAGGGGAGAATGTAAGTCACCTTTATACTGCAGTAGACAAGCCTTTATCTGCTGACACCAGATTTAGCACGATGACAACCTGGCTGAAAGAACGTTTCACTAATGTCTGTATTTCTCTCTCTCTCGCTCTCTCGCTCTATCGCTCTCTCTGTCTCGCTCGCTCTCTCTTTTCCTCTCTCTCTCTCCCTCTCTACCTCTCTGTCTATCCCTCTCTCTCCATCTCTATCTCCCTCTCCCTCCTTCCATCTCTACTGCTGTCTCTCTCTCAAGGGTAAACCTGGTGAACCAGGACCTTCAGGAAAGCCAGGAGCCCCTGGTACTCCAGTGAGTGATTATTTATTTATATACAGCAGGAACTGCTCTTAACATTGCAGACATCGTGGTCCTAGCTTCTGTGAAAACATGCACATGCACATGCAGTGAAATGCTGTTTGTATGTAGCGAACAAAGCAGCTTCCCTCTACCCTGTATCTGGTACTCTACAACCAGCTAGATCAAGTCCCATCAAGCCCTTGTAAATATGAATATTAATTGTTTGCAGCTGTTTCATCTCCCACCGCAAGATCTTTTATGAACTGTACCTCCAAGCGCAGCAACGTTCATAAAAACCCTTATAACGAGTGGGGCTGCCTGTGAGTGTTCAACTACAGTATGACTACAGTATGACTACACCATGTGAAAGTCACAAGTCCCCATGTTTCTGTGTGTATTACAGGGTCAGGCTGGAGCCAAGGGAGACCCTGGGAACCCAGGATTACCAGGCTTTAGTGGTCTCAAGGGACCGTCCGTAAGTAGGGATTCCTGCTCCTTTTTTATGTAAACATTATCACTAGGGTTCTAAGCTACTGTTGCCAGTGGTGTAAAGTAACTATGTAAAAATACTTTGAAGTACTACTGTATTTTACTTTACTATTTATATTTTTGACTACTTTTACTTTTACTCCACTACATTCCTAAATAAAATATGTACTTTTTACTCGTTACATTTCGAATGCTCAGGCAGGACAGAAATATGGTCCAATTCATGCACCTATCAATATAACGCGTTGTCATCCCTACTGCTTCTGATCTTGCGGACTCACGAAACACAAATACTGAGTTTGTAAATTATGTCTGAGTGTTGGAGTGTGTCCCTGGCTGTCCATAAATTTATTAAAAACAAGAAAATTGTGCCATCTGGTTTGCATAATATAAGGAATTAGATGTATAGCATTTACTTTAACTTTTAACTTTGACTAAAGTTTGACAATTGAATACTTTTGCCACCACTACCTAAGTACATTTAAAACAAGATATGTTACTCAAGTAGTATTTTACTGGGTGACCTTCACTTTTACTTGAGTCATTTTCTATGAAGGTATCTTTACTTTTACTCAAGTATGACAACTGAGTACTTTTCCCACCACTGATTGTTGCTATGCCTCCTAGTCCTACCACTCATGTTGGAATAGTCTGAGTTGATGTTCTGCCATAAGAAGATTGGAAGTTGTGATGCAAGCGTTTCTGATTTGATCAAATGTATTTATATATAAATGTCTCTGCCTTCGATCTGTCTATCTGTCTAGGGTCCTACTGGTCCGTTCGGCCCAGAGGGGAAACAGGTAAGAACCATTGATTGATTGATTGGTTTGTTGATTGATTTTTTGAGACATATTTCAATTTTCATCAGCTACTTTTAGCATCTTTACACTATGAAATGGATATAATGTGGAACATGGATTGGGCGATGTCTTGCCCACAAAATATTAAACAAACTCCTTGTCTGTTTCACAGGGTATGTCAGGCAGAGCAGGAGAACGTGGACTCAAAGGAGAGAGGGTGAGTACATACAGGACCCTGCCCAACCAACGACCATAAACAACATTGTTTACAGTGAGGGAAAAAATTATTTGATCCCCTGCTGATTTTGTACGTTTGCCCACTGACAAAGACATGATCAGTCTATCATTTTAATGGTAGGTTTATTTGAACAGTGAGAGACAGAATAACAACAAAAAAATCCAGAAAAACTCATGTCAAAAATGTTATAAATTGATTTGCATTTTAATGAAGGAAATAAGTATTTGACCCCTCTGCAAAACATGACTTAGTACTTGGTGGCAAAACCCTTGTTGGCAATCACAGAGGTCAGACGTTTCTAGTAGTTGGCGACCAGGTTTGCACACATCTCAGGAGGGATTTTGTCCCACTCCTCTTTGCAGATCTTCTCCAAGTCATTAAGGTTTCAAGGCTGACGTTTGGCAACTCGAACCTTCAGCTCCCTCCACAGATTTTCTATGGGATTAAGGTCTGGAGACTAGCTAGGCCACTCCAGGACCTTAATGTGCTTCTTCTTGAGCCACTCCTTTGTTGCCTTGGCCGTGTGTTTTGGGTCATTGTCATGCTGGAATACCCATCCACTACCCATTTTCAATGCCCTGGCTGAGGGAAGGAGGTTCTCACCCAAGATTTATAATAAATAATAATAAGTCCCATCAAAGGTACGATGGTACAAGGCCCCGTCCATCGTACCTTTGATGCGGTGAAGTTGTCTTGTCCCCTTAGCAGAAAAACACCCCCAAAGCATAATGTTTACACCTCCATGTTTGGCGGTGGGGATGGTGTTCTTGGGGTCATAGGCAGCATTCCTCCTCCTCCAAACACGGCGAGTTGAGTTGATGCCAAAGAGCTCGATTTTGGTCTCATCTGACCACAACACTTTCACCCAGTTCACCTCTGAATCATTCAGATGTTCATTGGCAAACTTCAGACGGGCCTGTATATGTGCTTTCTTGAGCAGGGGGACCTTGCGGGCGCTGCAGGATTTCAGTCCTTCACGGCGTAGTGTGTTACCAATTGTTTTCTTGGTGACTATGGTCCCAGCTGCCTTGAGATCATTGACAAGATCCTCCCGTGTAGTTCTGGGCTGATTCCTCACTGTTCTCATGATCATTGCAACTCCACGAGGTGAGATCTTGCATGGAGCCCCAGGCCAAGGGAGATTGACAGTTCTTTTGTGTTTCTTCCATTTGCGAATAATCGCACCAACTGTTGTCACCTTCTCACCAAGCTGCTTGGCGATGGTCTTGTAGCCCATTCCAGCCTTGTGTAGGTCTACAATCTTGTCCCTGACATCCTTGGAGAGCTCTTTGGTCTTGGCCATGGTGGAGAGTTTGGAATCTGATTGATTGATTGTTTCTGTGGACAGGTATCTTTTATACAGGTAACAAGCTGAGATTAGGAGCACTCCCTTTAAGAGTGTGCTCCTAATCTCAGCTCGTTACCAGTATAAAAGACACCTGGGAGCCAGAAATCTTTCTGATTGAGAGGGGGTCAAATACTTATTTCCCTCATTAAAATGCAAATCAATTTATAACATTTTTGACATGTTTTTTTCTGGATTTTGTTGTTGTTATTCTGTCTCTCACTGTTCAAATAAACCTACCATTAAAAAGATAGACTGATAATTTCTTTGTCAGTGGGCAAACGTACAAAATCAGCAGGGGATCAAATAAATGTTTCCCTCACTGTGTATTGTTTCTGAGTGTGTTTTGTTGGATGTCTTTGTAGGGCAACTCAGGTGGGAAGGGAGATAAGGGACCTGTTGGAGATCCAGGTATGCCTGGTAACCCGGGAACCCCAGGCCGTAAGGGCCACACAGGGATGATGGGTATGTCCGGGCCACCAGGAGAGATGGGACTTACTGGGCCTCAGGGAACACCTGGAAACCCTGGACAACCAGGATCACGGGTGAGTAGTGATCTAAATACTTGCATTAGCCCCCCAGAGTTAACCGCCAGGTTTTAGCTCAGCAGGCGAACACAGTCTTGTGGTTTATGGAATACTCTGGTTCAATCCCAGTCACAGTCAGAGTGCTATAGAAAATATTACAGACTTCTAGAACTCGATGACGTAAACATGCTAATTTCTCCTTCCACAGGGAGAGTCACCATCACTGGAAACAATGAGAAGGCTAATCCAGGAGGAACTAGCTAAGGCGTTAGATGGTGAGACTGGCGTATTGTTAGGAACAGTGGGACATTAGTGCAATCTGTAATGTATGCAAAGTTTGTTTGACCTCAAATGAGCTGTGCAAGTCATACTTGTGTGTCCGTGTGTTCCACCTCCAGACAAAATGGCGTACCTGATGGCCCAGATCCAGCCAGCCCATGTGAAGAGCACGGCAGGTCGGCCAGGACCTCCAGGCCCCTCAGGGAAAGAAGGGAGCCATGGTCGCCCCGGACCCCCAGGAGAGCCTGGCATGCCTGGGCAGAATGGAGGAGATGGCATGAGGGGACCCATGGGTCCTAAAGGTAATTGATCCAAAGTGAAGTCCCATTTTTTTTGGTCACACTTCCTGTATTTCTTGGTTCAGATAAACACACTGTGAGAGCATAATATTAAAGAGTGTAATATTGTCAAAACACTACATGAGAGGTTTCAGGTTTCTACTATACCCAGAAAACACATTTTTGCCACCCATTGATATTAGTCGCCTTTGGTAGTCTTGATTTAGGTTGTCTTGATTCAGACACTGTCTGTAAAAACATCATTGTGAGTGTTGTGTCTGTCATCTCTGTGACGTCCAGGTGAGAGAGGATCCAGAGGAGAAAAGGGGGAAAACGGAGTTGGACAGAGAGGAGAGACTGGACCATCTGGTCCTATAGGTACAGTACTGTTCCTCTATTACAGCATTACATCAATAGAATGTCTCTATTACTACTATATCATTCTAAATGGATGATTGTTTGTATCCATCTTGAGATCCTTAGTTGCTAAACTATGAGCTATCCAGCACGAATGGGGTGAGTGAGTGACTGACTGACACTTGAACTTCCTAAGAAAGCAGCAGTTGCTTCAGTGTGACTCTTTGCCATTCCATTTGCTATTCCACCCCCTAGGACCAGCAGGTATGCCAGGCTATGGTAAGGATGGGCAGCCCGGGGCGGCTGGAGCTCAGGGTGAACCAGGGAACCCTGGTCCCCATGGCCAGCCAGGCCCCAGCGGACCCCCAGGACAGTGTGACCCCTCCCAGTGTGCCTACTACGCCAGTCTGGGATCACGACCCCACACCAAGAACGTCAAGGGGACTTAAAGAGACAGAGACACACAGAAGGTGCATCCGAAATGGCAACCTATAAAGGGAATAGGATGCCATTTCAGACGCAGCCAGAGAACTACAAGTCCACCTATTTATGAACTGGGATGTGTCAGGATGAACCAAGGACTTTTCTTTTCTCAGTTTGGAGGTAGCTCGAGAGAAGTGTGCTGCCTGCCTGCCGATCAGAATTTGTTCGTTTTTGTTGTGGGGGGTTGGGAGTGGAATGACCAGGGAAGTGGATGTGGGGGGTTGGGGGTGGAATGACCAGGGGAAGTGGGTTTGGAGGGTTGGGGGGGAGTCTGATATTTGGTAATGTCATCAAGAATTACAAAACCAGACGGACTGCCATTGTTCCTATCCGGTTCGAAGGACCATGTAAAAGAACACCGACTACAGTCATGCTTAGTGGGCTATAATGTGGCGGCACAGAACCAGGCCTGGGTTCAAATACTATTTGTTTTCACTTGATGGAGCTTGCCTGACACAATGGAACCAATGGAATAGTCCCCAAAAAAGCATACCCTGCCTATGTGGCAGTTTAGGCAGGCTCAATCAAACGCTTAAAACTATTTCAAAGAAAACAAAAACCGGCGGAGGGGTGACTGAGGCACAATCTGAAATAACAATACTGAGTTTCATCGAAGGATCTTTAATGAGCATGTGGATGGTGGTGAACAACTTCATGCTTTGTTTTGTTTTGCCTTGCCTGTACGCTTCTGATAGTGCAATTGTCTTGAATAATGAAAGCCAGGCCACCAGAACTGGTCAGGGTGAATACTGAGCTCTTAGATTATCTGGATATCTGTAGAACTCCTATTACAATCTCCACCTTATTACAAACTAAGATACTGTGTCAATAACAAAACCATTTGTGACAGGTTTAATTGCCTATTTGTACAGTGTTTGTTCATTGTTCCTCCAAAGGGAATCAAACTTAATGAATGCATGTAAGGCCGTCAAGTAGACGAGACCCATGAGACTCTTTCAAAAGGAAATGGAAAACTATAAAAGGAAAACTAAATTTCCCCTTTCGTTTCTACCTAAGTGTCTCTGGTGATTCCACATAGTCTGGCTGTAAACAGTCTGGAGAGAGAAGGTACTAAAACCACAGCCTTTGTTCCAGTCGTTCCTCAAAGTTGCTTGTTTCCTGGTTTCTCCATTCTCTCTAATGTGTCACTTCCTCCTGCTTAATAGCCAGTATCCATGTGGCACAGGCAGGCCAAGGACACAGTGACTCAAATAAAGAAATTGTTTTAACTAAATCATTAAGTGCTATACAAAATTAGTTATTTCTTCCCTGTATTGTACATTCTGATTGGTAAGGTCCGTGAGTATTCTGTCTGAAGGATGTCTTCCTCACTCAACCCACGCCCCCAGTGGACCAATTATACTTTCTCTAAAACTCACAAGACGGGTCGAGCGAGAGAGAATCAGTAAAAAGATACAATAGATAGCCCACTGCTCACTCTAGGGGAATTATTTTGGCTTGAAAAAGGCAAAGAAATGTAAGCATCAATGTTGAGGTTACGAAATGTTCATCGGGTCACCATTAAAGTAAAATAGATATATTGTATTTTACACCTTCCTTATATGAATGTGAGCCTGGATCCAGCATGTATTTCTAGAACACAGTTAGAACACCCACAGTGTTCCAGAACCCAGGCCAACACCCACAGTGTTCCAGAACCCAGGCCAACACCCACAGTGTTCCAGAACCCAGGCCAACACCCACAGTGTTCCAGAACCCAGGCCAACACCCACAGTGAAAACACAGCTTGGCCAACTGCAGCTCAGGTCATTTCATTGAAGGTCATCCTAAGTGCTCTCCTGAATATTTAAAGCTAAACATATAGTGCCTACATTGCCCATTGTACTGTAGCCTATCAAACTATGCCTCATGATCCATAGCAGTCAAAGAGACAGATGTACTCTTCAATTACCTTTACCACCACATCACAGTGGAGATGTGTGGACTTCGTTATGAAATATGTTTCAGAATGCCAAAGAGGAGCAATACAACAGTAACATCATGGTTTTGTAAATGGAAAATGCTTGTTAGCCCATTAATATGAGCATTAGAATGTCTGATGTTTTCTTCCAGTGCTCCCATAGCAAATAATGCATAAGGTTCTAGTTTTATAATTATTTGTTTGGCTTGTTTCCTCATTTCATATACATTTGTGATTATTCAAAACAACTAACTGTATGTAACTGATTTAGGGTTTTTGTTCATTATACTGTTAAATTATTTACAGTTTGAACTACCAGTAGCCTACCGTATGTGGAATGTTAAAAATGGTTTTACAACGGTAATCCTTACCTGTTTATCCTAAAAGATTGGTGCTAAAATATCCTTAATTAGTGGCTGGTATATTTGTAAGTAATGGAAAGGTATATTATATACTGTATCATGTTGTAATAAAGACTGGAACAGATCCCTTTTTATAGAAAAGCCATTTCCTTTCCTTTGTGAGTACTGTAATCTTCCTGTGTGCAGGTATGAATTTCATTCTCAATTATTATGTTTCCTACTTTATCTGTAGACCCTGCAGGCATTTGACAAGGCCATTGCTTCTGTTGAATGTAAATAGCAACTTCTACAGACCCATTGAAATGAACAGTAATCACTCAGTTTTACATTTTCTCCCGGGATCATTTGCATAGCAAGCACGATTGGCACTTCTGCAATTTGTATTGCTACTTAGAATTTAAATTTTGCTGAAATGATCCATTGTGGGACTGTTGCATGTTAGTATTTTATGGACAACCTATAACCTATTATTCTATGGGATGCCAGTAGATCCATGATTAGACCTATGAAGACAAATAGATGCCGTTGAGAGGAGGAGGAGAAGAAGTGGAGGGGGGGGGGGGGGGGGGGGACGTGAGGGGAGGAGGAGGAGAACGAGGAGGAGGGGGAGGACGGCGAGAAGGGGGGGAGGAAGAGAAGGAGGGGAGGATGGGGAGGAGTGGGGAGGAGGAGAAAGGAGGTGGAGGGGAGGAAGTGGGAAGAGGGGGAGGGAGGAAGGGGAGGAGGAGAGAGAAGGGTGGGGAGGGGGAGAGAGACGACGAAGGACGGAGTGTGAGGGGATGAGGATGAGAGGAGGGGGGAGGAGGAAGAGAGGAGGGGAGGGGAGGAGGGGGAGGGGGAGGAAGATAGGAGGGGGGGAGGGGGAGGGGGAGAAGAGATAGGAGGGGGAGGGGAGGAGGGGAGGGGGGAGGAGGAAGAGAAGGGAGGGGGAAGGGGGGAGGAGGAAGAGAAGGAGGGGTGGGGAGGAGGGGCAGGGGGAGGGGGAGGGGAGAAGGAAGAGAAGGAGGGGTGTGGGGGGAGGAAGAGGAGGGGGGAGGAAGAGGAGGGGGGAGGAGGAAGAGAAGGAGGGGGGGAGGATGATGGGGAGGCTAGTTCCAGCCTGCAGCAGCCCAATCTCCTGGTTACAGCCAACAGCCAGCAGCCTTCTAAAGGTCATATTGACTCAATAAATTAATCTCTGGTGTATAGACTCAGAGAATGGGATGTTGACTCTCCTCTCTCAGTAACTAGGCAACGGTGGACCGGACGGTTACTACCCCTGGTAGTCTTGGTCCATCCCCTGGCTGTAACAGCTTCAACAGATAGAGCTCTCTAATGGTAATCATGATGCCACAAAACATCTCTCAAATTGTAATGCTGAAAGTCATAAAGCTGTCAATACATAACATTTTCGTATTCTGTGAATGCATGTTATATCCATTTCGAAGGACCAACATAAAAAATGGACTAATGGTTTGTTCGAAAATGCTTCACTAAAGGTAAAGCTAGCTGTTTTTACATTCATAAAAACAACTCACGGGTCTGACATGAAATCTTTCCCAAACGAATCAGTTTATTACATTGTTAGAAAACAAAACAGGGGAAAACGTGTACTTGTACTGTACAACCATAGATTATCCTATGATCAAGTGACTGAATGAAAACATGAACTACCAATATCGGTCTATGGCTCGTGACGGTCTATGACTTTTTCTGTTATTGTTTATTGATCAACATTGAAAATGAATGATTCCAAAGCACAGTTTGCGGTTTTGTTATTTGTGAAAAGCTTCGTACTGTACATGGTGCTGGAGAGGACGTTTTTGATGACTTTATTTAAACAAGGAATTAAACAGTACATGCATAGAAGAAAACGGCACAGTATTTACCTTTGTATTACTTGAAAACCAACATAGTGCCCTGTTTGTCTGCCCAACATACAGTACGTCTGAGAGTGAGAGAGTAAGCTTGAAGCTGTGGGTATGAATTGAACAGCATGAATTGAACAATATGTTCATTTTAGAAGTTTGTGTAGTTTGTATTTGTCTTTGGGACATCACTTGAGCCATGATGGGCCACTCGCCAGTTGAAAGGCTAGCTTAAAATCAATAGCAGCTGTCTTAGAAAGCACAACATCAGATAAGCTCGCTCTACAAGAAAATGATGCATCAGTCAAAAAGATGAAAAGTTAGAAAAATATCTATACAGTATTCTAAATTACATTTGCCTTGTCTCTGTTTCCCATTGTGTTTCTCTTTGGTTTTCTGGTGTGATGATGGAGACTGGGTACCTCATGTCTCTCTTGCTGCTGCTAGAGATGGAATGTGTTCCGGAATGTGTTCCGAGCTTCTGTTTGTGTTCCTCACGGCCCCTTGCTGTAGCTGGAGGATTTCTTCCCCCCACTCATCAGGTAGAGAGGTGGGGGCCTGCCTATACAGTTTGAGGGGTCACAATAGCCTGGGGCTCCTGTAGCTCCCCTGGGACCAGAGGCACCTGGGCTACCGTTAACACCGTCTTTACCGGGAGCTCCATCTTTACCGTCCTTCCCGATGCCTGGGATGCCAGCTGCACCTGAGAGAGAGACAAAGGATGAGGGAAATAACAGAAACAGGTACTGAACAATATCCCCTCATGTCAATGTGTGACCGACTGAGTTTGAACCCAGGTCTCTTGAGCGACACCAGACTGTGTTAGCCCGCTGAGATAAAGCCTTCGTATAAACTTGAGGAGCTCAAATCTTCAGGTCTTAGGCGAGATAAGAATGGGGGGAGGGGTGGTGTTACCTTGAGGGCCTGGCTTGCCTGGAGTTCCTGGGATTCCAACTCCATTTTCTCCCTTAATACCTGTATCCCCCTTTACACCAGGTTCACCTACAGAGAAGAACAAGGCATTACCTTTCACATGTACATTGACTGTCTGAAATGGGCTATTATCCCCACAGGAGGTGTGTGTGTGTGTGTGCCCGTGCTTGTGTGTGTGCGGGTGCGTTTGTGTGAATAACAGGGATGCAATTAAAAGGATTTAACAGAGAGGGATTTAAGTGCTGTGTTGTCTGATTCAGTCCTGGATGTGAATGCGTGACTCATCTACAGAGAACACACTGCAAGCTCTTTCAGAGCACTAAGCTACAGTACTGTGGAGACAATGGACCTGGTGGCCAGACATTGCTATATTTCTCTAAAAGGTTTAATTAAGAAATAGATTGCATCCGTTAGTACGGCTGTGGGCCCTCTACAGAAATACACTATAATGGACAAATAGAAGGCCATTCTACCAGCGTGCTGAGCACTGAGTGCTGTCTAACTGTTTGGACTGAGTATATACTTTTCTAGTTGTAGTTTCTATGTTCTCTACTGTACACAATGAAATTGGCATTTCCAAGATGGCCCAAGTATTCAATTGGAATGATCAGTTCTTTATACAGTTCTTTATCACCTTTATCTAGTGAGTTATTGATACATAATTCCCCATTACCTTGTTTTCCAGGTGTGCCTGGTAACCCAAAGTATCCATGTGGTCCTTTCATTCCCATCAGTCCTCTGGGGCCGGCTTCTCCTGTAGTCCCTGCTGGGCCCGGGGGACCTGGAGGGCCCGGCAGTCCTGCCATGCCTGGGGCCCCGATCGCTGCTGGTTTCTTCAGGACCTCCTTCTTAAACTCTGCCAAGTGTTCTAGATGGAGAGAATGATTAAAATGTCAGTTTAACAAAGCACCCTACATGGTAGACTGCCTTGAGCTACAATTGTTAGTGTGTACACAATATGAATATACCTTCAACAATTGCTGAGCATAGTTCGCGAAGTTTGATATTATTCACTTTAGGACCCTATTGGATTTGGAAGTAGAAAAAGTACAGTATATTAATTAATACTAGAACATTTATATGTCACTCCATTCCAAAAAGTATTTAGTACTTGTGTTTTACAGTCTTCGTTCACTTCATGAAGAAGGTACTTACAGGTAGGCCCCTAGGCCCAGGTGATCCTGTTAACCCTCTCTCTCCCTCTAGTCCATTGGCTCCCTGGGGACCGGTCAAACCCTCATGACCCGGCTGCCCTGGTCTACCATCTTCCCCGGTATATCCCTTCATGCCCTTCTCTCCAACCTAGAGGCCAGTGGACAACACAACATGACTTAAATGTTTACTGTATACCATAACGAATTCAATTATTCCATCCATCAATCAATCAACCAATCAATCAATCAATCAATTAAACTGTAACATTGTTCTGTACCTCTCCTTTGATTCCAGGAACACCAGGAGGACCCTATAGAAACAACAATGGAATGAATGAGGACCATTGTATCACTACAAATACAGGGGAATACTAAAGCTAGATCAAATGTATCGCTCAGTAGAACATATACCTGGTCTCCCTTGACTCCAGAATCGCCTGTAAGACCTGGATCACCCTGTGGACAGAGGTAAGATTGTCAATACAGATACTGTATCTTACAAAAGAATACTGTCTCATTGTTGACATGATATATGGTATTGACGTGAATCCATAGACTTACTTCACTTCCCTTTGGGCCAATGGGACCAATAGGACCCTAGGAACAAGACACAGGAAATTAGAAGTCATTCAAACCCCTTCATTTACAAACTGACAACTATTACCAAAACAATAAGCTACACATCAGGACTCACCTGTTCTCCCTTATCTCCAGTGTGACCCTTCAGTCCCTTTATACCAGTGTCACCTTTGTCCCCTTTGTCACCCTGGATGCCTGTATCACCTGTGACCCCCACTGGTCCCTGCTTTCCTGTATCACCCTGAGGAGAGTGATGCAGGATCAATTAAATGTCATTAAAGGTACTCTATGACTTATATGAGGTTAGCTATCAGCTCATTGTTACCATCAGATAGGGGTTGTTCTTGATGAGCAGTGTGCATGACACTCATACTACTGTATATTTAATAACAGATTATTATAAGCAGAATAACTAGAATAAAATGTTAAAAATGTTCAACTTACAGTAGCTCCCTTGTCTCCTGGTTTTCCATCTTCTCCTGCTGGTCCAGTTTCCCCCTAAACAAACATGACAGTCTTATTAAGCATCTTCAGCCCCATTAGTAGAATATGGATCCACAGTCATGGCTAGCAGTGTTGAGTGATTGTAAACACTAAAGTGTGAAATTTGATACTCACTGTTTTCCCAGGAACTCCGATTGGTCCTACTGGTCCATCAGCTCCTGTATCACCCTGTACAAAAAGCATACTGTTTTACAATAGACAAACACAAGGAATTAAACTGTACCTAAGACACACAGACACAGAGACACAGACACAGACACAGAGACACAGACACAGACACAGACACAGAGACACAGACACAGACACAGACACAGACACACACACACACACACACACACACACACTTTACCTTGGCACCTCCAGCTCCAACTAGCCCCTGCTTTCCTGGTAACCCCTAGAGAAACAACACAGGATATCCTCAGAATACCGTACAGTATATTGGTATTTTTGAACGCACTACAATATAAGGGATAGACTACTTCCTTGTTGTGTTGTTTCTGTTGATTTAGTTTTCCCTGCCATGTCCTCTGACCTGTATAACCTATCAGCCAGACAGGCTATGATGGGAAGGTTGTGGTTTTATTGGATTTTTCCTTCCGCTTGGCTGTTTGCTTCTAAATGATTTATTAATCTGGTCTGCAGTGTGGTTTGACTGGAAGGCAACCGCTCTATTGATTTTCACAGCTTTTGCTTTCTTTTTAATACCAGCAAAACCTTGTAAGGTCAACTAATCTACAATGATATTTGTAGATGAATAATATTTATTTTAGATGTCACAGATTAATATTAGACTCACTGGAATTCCGACGATACCCCTGATTCCGATAATCCCGTGAACACCAGCTTCTCCCTGTTGGAAAGATGACAAGTATGTTCCTAGGATAAACTATTGATTTCTTGACAGATCTTGTAAGACTGGATACATTCTCTTTATTTAAACTATATATGTACAGTAGTCATAAAGCATAGACTAACTTTAGCTCCATCCACTCCAGGGAGTCCATCCATGCCGTCTGCCCCAGGAGTACCCTGTAATCACAGTTCATCATTGATCACAACAACAACAATAACAACAACAACAACAACAACTCAGCATCATAATCACACTCATAAGAGATAAGAGAGATGTTGCAAAAGCTTAATTATTCAGGTCAATCTAACTATACAACTAACAATACAAAAGGATCTCGCATGCATCTGATAACTTATTGGTAAGGACATAAGGTCAATTGATGTTGTATTGTATGTTTACTCACAGAGTCTCCCTTTGCACCAACAGGACCCTGCTCTCCTTGAGGACCGATGGCTCCCTGAGAAAACACACATGCAATTAACCATGAAACAATTTAAGGCGATGAAACAATTTAAGGCGAACAGAAAGTAAAAACTCTAGAGGTAGAAGGGAGGAGATACTCACGTCATCACCTTTTTCTCCCTCCGGACCCTGACGTCCACGAATGCCCTCCACACCCTAACAGAAGACGATTGGTCAGTCACTACAGTACAAAACGGAAGACATTTTGGAAAACACTGTTCAGCCCTAGGTAATGTCAACCATAGTCTGTCCTCCAGTCTGTCTATGGACATTGATTGAAAATGGCAGTTAAAATTGATTGAGTTACAGTAATTAAATAAGTAGTGCTTACAGGAGATCCCGGTGGTCCAGTGGGTCCTGGGATGCCGTTGAAACCAGGGAGACCCTGAGAGGAGCAGAGAACACGGATCGTGAGTTTAAGACCCTCAACACTAAAGTAAAACGTCAATAAGTAAATATTGTTTGAAACCCTTACCCTGTCTCCTTTATCTCCAAGAGTACCAGCAAAACCAATAGGACCTCTTTGTCCCTGGAATGTATTACAGATGTTAAAATGAATCATATTTTATATGATTCACAGTGATGCACAGCAAAAACATTAAACAGTTATAAATGGCTGGTTGTATGAGCAATTTCCACTTAAAGCAGAAATCCTACGTACCATCTTTGAATGCGCAAGATACTAATTTTGCGCTTTAGGCAGAAATCCTATGTTACATTTTACTATGCTCAAGATACCGATTTACGCTTGAGGCAGCAATCCTATGTAACATGTTGGTATGCTCATTACCTATGTTCTGCTTGGAACAGAAACACTGAAGTATAGAAAGGACAAAACAAGAGACTTCGGGATTTTCGTTATCAGACAGTGAGGTAAAATAGATCAGCCTGTATGTGTTGGTATCTTTTAGAGCAAGGAGGGTTCTTACATCCTCTCCCATCTTGCCTGGTAGGCCCTGCACCCCAGATGGTCCTGGTTCACCCTGTGGATTAGCAACATAGGAAAAGCACAAATACTCACATGTAGTGATTTGTACGCTTGAATAATCATCCTAACCTTCCAATGTACTATACTTAAGCACATTGTCAAACATCACACTTCTTCACTAAACATGATAATTGATTGCTTGTCATACCTTTTGTCCTGCTTCCCCCGCAGCTCCATTATCACCTGGTAATCCCTTGTGCCCCTGGAGACGACATGTCATCAAACTATTATCAGAAACTCTACACATTGGTAGTTCATACGGTGAGTTTCCCCGTACAATGTAAAGCACTTTGAGCATCTGGAAAAGCCCTACATCAATCCATTCAATTATTAGATACTGGTATCTCAGAGAAAACCAATGGCCACAATGGTGTGAATGATGATAAGGGCTCTGTTGCCCAAAGCCAGGTATGTATTCATTCAGTGTCTGTCATTAAGATTCCTCACCTTCATCCCTGGTAGCCCTGGGTTTCCCTGTGGTCCAGATGGACAGGCAGTGGGGCACTGCAGACAAACAGACAGACACATACATTACATTATTACTACACCTGCAGGGGGCTCACCTCCTATTCGATAGCTACTGACCGAAGAACACTATAGCTACCAATTTTCCACATGCATGTTTGTCAGAATTAAATGACAGCAACAACAACAGTTTATAAAGGAAGTGTGAATTAAGTTGAAGTGTAGTTATTGCAACAACATTAGGCTCTGAAGCACCTAGTCCAGGGCTCTCCAAACCTGTTCCTGGAGAGCTACCGTCCTGTAGGTTTTCACTTCAACTCTACTCAAGCACACCTGATAATAATAATTAGCTGGTTGATTAAACTGAACCAAGTTAGTTACAAATGGGGGTTGGAGCGAAAACGTACAGGAGGGTAGCTCTCCAGGAACAGGGTTGGAGACCCCTGACCTAGTCCCACCCTCTAGCAGACCCTGTGAAAGATGGTTTAACCCTGTGAAAGATGGTAAAAAGAGACTCACATCTTCCCCACTCCCCTCAGCTTTGCCAGCCCCTGGTGGTCCCTAAAACACAGCAGAGCGAGTGACAGAGATGAAACAGTACATATCTCTATGGAGTGACATCTAAAACAGAGTTTAAATGTCTACAAACGCTACAGCAAAGATCTCCAGTGTTCGAGGCTGTGCAATCAACGTCAAGTAATGCAGGAGTGATACTGATTATCACTCTACATCAGGGTTAAGACGCCACACTAATGGTCGGAGAGAACTCTTATGACAATATTGATAAAATAAATACTTAGGTTAATGGGAAAGACCAAAGAGACAAAGCCACATCTGAATCCTCAACAGATAGAAACATCGGTCAGACTCCAAGTTGGGAAAACAGAGCTCAATTCACATGATGATACAGATATTGAATTCACTAATTTCAGGTTAGATCCAGAAGTAAAAGGTTAGCATCAGTACTTACCACAGGTCCAGGTGGTCCTGGTAGACCAGGGGGACCAGGGAGACCCAGACCCCCTCTAGGCCCGGGGGCACCCTGATAACAATAGATAATTGCATTTAGAGCTCAAACACCTAGAATGTCCTGCTAGACACTGACAAGTCTGATATATTTTAGTAACAAAATGGTCCATAGAATATCAAAAGGACCAATGAAACAGATTCCGGAAGCAGCACATTATGCCAAAATATTTATTATATTCTACTGAGCCATTTACTTTCCGTTCATATTCTTATCTTATATTATTTCTTATTGTTGTTGTATTGTCAAAAAGGAACCTGCAAGTAAGCATTTCGTTGGACAATGTATACCATGTGTATCCTGTACATACGACTAATAAAACTTGAAAAATATCCTGTATGTTTTTATTGCTGAATGTGTTCTGTTTAATCAGTCATATACTGTAGTTGTGTAGGATGTGATCCTTATTTGAACACTGACCTCAGGCCCAATGTTCCCCTCATCTCCTGGAGTTCCTGCTTTCCCAGGTGGGCCCTGTAGGAGCGACATACACAAGTTATATGATTATTCTATAGCCCCTTAGTAGGGCTCGATTAAAAGACTGTATGTTGTCTTAATGCTGTTTAGAACATGGGGTGAATATTCTCTAAAGATGTTGAAGAGTTTGTAATACATACGGGGGGTCCAGCTGTCTCAGGTCCCTGGGAAATGAGAGAAAAAGCTATCAGACAAATCATATTATTTAGCTATAGAAATGAAGTGGTCTGACATGTTCCATGGCTTGATGGCTATAAATATCAGCAAAATGTTTCCATTAATATATGACGATCTAAAGATGACAAAGATAGTGGATACTTACGGGAGAGCCTGCTGGCCCAGGAAACCCTTGAAGTCCCTGTTATTAGACACAGAACAGTCAAATATTAGTTAACATTGTCCCTGCTGTAACAGTTATTAGGAAGATATAGTTTCTTGAGTAGGTTCTGGTAAGAAAAAAAACTCACTCTCTCACCCACAGGTCCTCTTGGGCCCATTAAACCAGGTATTCCCTTCATTAAAAAGAGAAGAAATCATTGATTCACTAAAACGTTCTCTCACCACCAGCTTCAATTCTAATAATATCAGTTGAGTTGTGGATAGCTGCTGTTAATGGTTCAATGAATAAGGTGATAGAGAACAACCCTTCTTGCTCCACAAGACAAAATAGAGGCTGAGTTTGTGACAGGTGCTGTGTGTTGTGTGTAGTACAGTAGGAGGTAGTGATCCTTACAGCAGCTCCTGGTAGGCCAGGCAGGCCTCTAGGTCCAGGAAGACCGATCTCCCCCTGGTCCCCTTTGGCCCCCTGAGAAACAGACACAACAGACAGCCTAGTTACACACACAACAGACAGCCTAGTTACAGACACAACAGACAGCCTAGTTACAGACACAACAGACTGCCTAGTTACAGACACAACATACAGCCCAGTTACAGACACAACAGACAGCCTAGTTACAGACACAACAGACAGCCTAGTAACAAACACAATTGACAGCCTAGTTACAGACACAACAGACAGCCTAGTTACAGACACAACAGACGGCCTAGTTACAGACACAACTGACGGCCTAGTTACAGACACAACAGATGGCCTAGTTACAGACACAACAGACAGCCTAGTTACAGACACAACAGATGGCCTAGTTACAGACACAACAGACAGCCTAGTTACAGACACAACAGACAGCCTAGTAACAGACACAACAGACAGCCTAGTTACAGACACAACACACATCCTAGTTACAGACACAACACAAAGCCTAGTTACAGACACAACAGACAGCCTAGTTACAGACACAACAGACGGCCTAGTAACAGACACAACAGACAGCCTAGTTACAGACACAACACACAGCCTAGTTACAGACACAACAGACAGCCTAGTTACAGACACAACAGACAGCCTAGTTACAGACACAACAGACAGCCTAGTTACAGACACAACTGACAGCCTAGTTACAGACACAACTGACAGCCTAGTTACAGACACAACAGACAGCCTAGTTACAGACACAACAGACAGCCTAGTTACAGACACAACAGACAGCCTAGTTACATACACAACAGACAGCCTAGTTACAGACACAGCAGACAGCCTAGTTACAGACACAACTGACAGCCTAGTTACAGACACAACTGACAGCCTAGTAACATACACAACATACAGCCTAGTTACATACACAACAACAGCCACATATAGCAGACACAACCACAGCTAAGTATGGCTCTGTACACAGACACAACAGACAACCTAGTAACAGACACAACAGACTACCTAGTTATAGACACAACAGACAGCCTAGTTACATACACAACAGACAGCCTAGTTACAGACACAACAGACAGCCTAGTTACAGACACAACAACAGCCACATATAGCAGACACAACCACAGCTAAGTATGGCTCTGTACACATAAAATCAGACAAACAGCTTTATCATCGGTCTGCATCGCTCGCCGCCGTTGCTAAGATACACTGTGACAGTGCCTGTCAGCGTTTAATCAATGAAAGATGTGCAATTCTCATCAGGACAGACAGAGAGAGAGAGATAAGGGGCAGGCAGGGTGGAGGAGAGAACACTGATCTATTTTTGCAGCTAAATTGATTGTAAGTAATGAGGTTAAGCTACAGGATGGCAACAAAGAGTCAAATAAATACTTAGAGAATTAAATACATTTAATAATTTGACAGCTCGCACTTACAGGACTGCCAGCACTGCCAGGTGAACCTGGAAGGCCCTGTAAGAAAAAAGAAAGACAGTTGTTATCCATTCTAGTCATTGAGAATAGAGAATTAAGAAAAGTGTGTACTGTCTGTCTAAGATATCCTACCAATTCACGCAGTTTGAGGCAATATCCAGCATGGTAAATTACATAACGCTATGGTTAATTCTTCATTCTACATGTAGTTTGGATGGGGTGGATAGACTTACATCTCTACCGTCTCTGCCGTCCTCTCCATGTGGCCCCCGGGGCCCCTCAGGGCCGGTGGGACCGGAAGGGCCAGGGACAGGCTTGGGGTCAGGCTGGAGGGAGAAGAGACAACACAGTCGATGAGTACTTGAGAAGGAGTGAAGGTCACTCTGAGGGGAGTGGAGTAGCTTCTTACTCCAGCCAGAGTTTGATTGTGCCACTAAAGTAACAAAGCATCAAGGCAATTAGGCAACAGAGCATTGAAGTAGATTATTTGCCCCAAAAACACCAAGAAAAAAGAAGGTAGAGAAGATAAATACCTCAGCATTGGCATACATCTGAAGAAGCAGGAGAAATAAGAAACATGTAGAGTTAGTGAAGTAGTCACACCACCTTCACCCAAAGTGTCAGAAGAAGCTACAGTACCTGTCCAAAAACAATAGCTGTGAGCAGAGTCATATAGGATCTGTCTATGGCTCTGGCTGTGAGCAGAGTCATATAGGATCTATCTATGGCTCTGGCTGTGAGCAGAGTCATATAGGATCTGTCTATGGCTCTGGCTGTGAGCATATCATGCTGTCATTTACATACAGAACCCCATAGTAAACCTATAGTCTCTATAGTAAACAGACCCTGTGGTATATAGTCCACTGTATCATTTTAGTGTTGGCGTACTGAAAAGATACTGCTGTAAGCACAAAGGTTACCCTCAAAGCTAGAGGGAATAGACCATTGTCAAATTGATATTTGCATCATAAAGAAAGACTGGAACTTTTCTGCAGTCTACAGGACAATATGACTCTACCCACTCATAACAGCATGTATGCTAATATACAATTCTGTCCTGAGGAGTCAGACTTTAATATGTTGACAAAATGGGGTCACTTCATGAAATGTGTCTAGGCTAAATTGAGAGTGAGAGCTGGCAGTATTCTCTCTGTATGGAAGTAAGTGCTTATTTGACATATGTATTGTAATCATGGCACTCCTACAGTAGTATAACAGGCCATCCTATCTCCTCACATGGCAGGTGCAGATTCACAGAAGCCAGTTAGTGAAAGCTATGTTGCTGGTCGATATGAACCCAAACCCTAAGCAATTAAAGACCAGGTGGAGACAAGGTTGTTGTTGTTACCTCTGTGGCAGGCAGCTCCTGGCAGTTCTCTCTATTGGCTCTCTTCGGGTCGCAATGGATCAACATCCACTGGAGTTCAAACTAGAACAAGACAATGGCATGATATTGATCACATAACATAGAATGGCATGGCATGTCATGGTTCAACATAACATAACTCATATGATAATGCTTACTGTATAACAAAGTACCACTGGGGAACCAACACCTTCTCCGCCTTAGCCTGATCCCAGATCGGTTTGTGTTGTCTTACCAACTCCAATGGTTATTGTCATGCCAAACAATGACCATAAGAGTTGGCAATACAGCACAAACAGATCTGGGACCAGGCTATCCCTGCCCCACTCACCACAACAGAAGCATCAGCATCAGCGTCCAGCCTCCCAATGAGCGTATCTCCCTCTGTGTTGACGGGGCCTTTCCCCTTGATGGGCTTCTTGTCCACGGGCTGACAGTCCACATACAGGGTGACCTGGTCTCTCTCCACCCCAATCATCAACTGTAAGGATATGCTATAGGGTTACTGTTGTTGATCCTCAGGGGCCACCGTAATTCATGTCAGTTTAGAAAATGCATTGTACCAGGAGTAGTGTTGCACATTTCCAGTAACATTCTCAAAATTCCCAGGCTTTCCAGGATTTCCCTCTTATTCCCTCCTGATTCCGGGAATCTTCCATCCAGGATTTCTGGAAAACCGGGGAATTTTGGGATAGTTACTGGATTTTGCAAAGCAAACCAGGAGTGCCATCACTTATTCCATCACCTTGTGCCACTTGGTGTTGAACAACACAGAGAGCCCTGGGAAGGTGACGGTCTGCAGGTTGCCATCCTGGCCCATCAGGAAGTACTCCAGGGCCCGCTGGTCTCCATTCAGCCTGAGCCCTGCCTGCTTCCGGCCGTCCTCGTCCACCACCTGCCACACGTTCCACACCTTGTTCACCGTGTTCTTGATCATACGGAACGTGCCCATGACGGAGTACTCGTCAGGGAAACCCCAGGGGAAATTGAGCCTGGGTGAAATAGAACAGAAGATGAAAATGAAGATAAAGATGGGTGGGAGAGGGAGGAGGAAAGGAAAGGGTTGATACAGGAAGAAGTCCTCAACAGAGAAGCCCCTGCGGAAGTTCATTCTCAGTGGGAGAGGGATGGATGGACAGAGGAAAGGGTTCAAACTTATCTTTACAAAATCATAAAGAATGCAGTTGAGTTAGAGTCATAGAGAAGAGGGCACCGAGGGCGACATTTCGCAATGGGTAAAAAAGCAGCTTTCCATCACATACACACAGCACACATTGGGTGGTTCTATGATTTCAGATCTCTGATGTCAAAGACACTCCATGCTCACAAAGCAGAGCTTTGCTACAGGCCACATTTAAAACGCATCACACAGCGGTTCAGTTCCCATCCCGCTCCTCACGCCACGATAACATCATGAATGGAGACATCAATCAAACCCTAACACTTTTATGTTCAAAGCTCTCCCATTCTCTTTCTCTCTTGATCCCTCCATCTCTCCCTGTCTCTAATGCATGATGCATGCATAACGCAACAGTTACAATTACTCCAAAGGAACAATGAGGCCCTTTATTTTCCCATCAAACCCTTTTGTTATAAACAGAAGCAAAGCCCCGGTGGCTCTGATCAACAGATCAATTAAGCAGTCGTCCCATCTTCGTCTCTAACACGCAAACTGCTCTCCAGTCTCCCCAGTCCTAAACCTCTAGGCTGGTATTCATAATGAGTCTCAGATGCTGATCTCAGATTAGGGCCCCTTCGGTCCATTAATTATCATCTAAAAGGGCAAACTGATCCTAGAGCAGCACTCCTACTTGACGCTTTATGAATACGAGCCCTGGAGTTTTAACTAGCCAAGCCAAGAGCTCCATAGGTGGTGCCTTTATGGATGGGAGCTGCAGAGCTGCAGCCGGCTTGTAAATGGATCAAGACAAGGCAATAAAAAAGGAGTTTCCTGTAACCCAATAAAACAAATGAAGACCACTCTCTCCAACGTTCCTGCAGTGTGCCTGTGTGTGTGTGTGTGTGTGTGTGTGTGAAGTGCACCTTGGGAGAAAGTATCTCACAGCCTAGGCCAGGGTTTGATGCGTGTTGAGTTTTAGGCCTCTATCCCCTGCAGTGGTAAGTACACAGGTATCGGAAATTAACCTTTCTGACGACAGACTTCAAAGCCCAGACAGACTGACCACTGGACTCCGAGGGATACATGTTTTTGTGATTAGTGTCACGTTGTCCTGAGTGGCATGAGGCAGACTGGAAGGTGTCAGTATGTTACATAACAGTTTATGTGAAAACAGGCCCAATACAGGTCATTAGCCAGACCAGACCAGCAGTGAAACACTAGAAGACAGCTTTAGTTATGTAAGAAGGTAACCACGTAACAACAACTTCTAGCCTACTAAGCAATATGCAAACAGTCTAAGCTGAAAATGGAAGATTGTGCAGTGGTTTTCTTATTTATTTTTTTACATGGTAGAATACCAGGCTAGAGGATCCCCACACATTCACTGCTTGATCTAGGCAAGACACAAACACACACACACACACACACACACACACACACACACACACACACACACACACTCTCTCTCTCTTCACACAGGAAGCTGCTCAGACTGTCACCACCTGTCTCTTTTGATTCCCAGAATCCTTTATGAGCACAGACAGAAACAAGTGAATAAAACTACAACAAAAAATGCAGCATGATGAAATATGTCTCTGTGTTTCCGGGACGAGATATTTAATGGTTACAGGGGGTCTGGGGGGGTGGGGTCCGCTGCGTTCCCCCCTCATTGCCAAGAGATGCCAAATCAGTTCAGACATGTTGTTCTCTGCCAATTATAAGCTTTTTCACAGTGTGATAACATCTCTCTGAGACCTGCAATAATACAACACCTGCTTCGACCCAGGGGAAAGTATTTATTTGTGTGTGTGCGTGTGTGTGCGTGTGCGTGTGCGTGTGTGCGTGTGTGAGTGTAGCGATTATGCGTGTGTTTCTGTTTCTGGTTTCTTCATTCTTTATTTACCTGGTAGGTATTTGAAAAGCTGGCCTCCGTATTGAGCCATAATAACACAACACCTGCATCGAGCCCCGGACAAGCTCCAACATCATGCTTTTTCTGTCTTTCCTTACCTGGTAGGAATCTGGAAGTTGGCCTCCCTATCGAGGCGGTACGCCACCTGGAGAGGAGTGGAGCCCTCCACCTTCCTGACCCCCTTCAGAGGACTAACATCCAGCTGGAACTGGGTGATCAGATCAAACCCTAAAAGAGAGGTTAACGGATTTTCAGATATCTCCTTTTCGTTCTGAATGAATTATGTTACAGTATTATACAACAGGTGGGTCCTGAATGCTAATTGGTTAAAAGCGCATTCCAGCTGGTGTCTATTCCACAAGTTACCACCAGCTAAATCTATGACGTTAAAATGCCTATTTACTCTGTTCCATCTGACTGCGCAATCCACTGTCTCATCAAGCCAGCCAGGCAATTTATAAACTTGATCTCCACAATAAAAAGCATCTATATATTATCTCACATTTCTTTTAGACTAACATTTGGTTTTCAACAGTGGAGATTTGTATAAACCTTGCTATCTGTCTCTCCGACATTTGCAACATTGTTTCAATATTCAAATTTGATCTCCAGCTGTCCCATAGTAATGAACGTGTCGGGATTCAGGATGAGACAGACAGGCAGGCAGCGTTTCTCAGCCAGTTGAAATCATGAATCAGCATCATTTTTATGGATATATACAAAGACCTATCAATAGAAAACAGGTCAAAACGAAATGAAGTGCAGCTAGTTTGCAGTCTTTCCAGCTTCAGTTTGAAGTGATTGTGTTAGTTGTGTTGTTGGATAGCTCCTCTGAACAACAGTGTCCTGATGAGAGAGCACATTTTCTATGCCAGGTGAAATCATGCCTCATTAGCTCATTGCTATGGATGTATCTAAATAAATGTCACTAGAAAACAGCTTAAACAAACGCAAATGCAGCTACTTTGCTGTTATTCTGGCTGCTTTTTGACGTGACTGTAAGTTAGCCATAGTTGGCTAGCAAGCAAGGGATAAGAACGTTGCCAGCCAGTATGGCAATGGAACATTTAGAACGAACGACTGGGTCGCGTCCATAGATACAGAACAAAAAGACTGAATGACTGGGTCGCATCTCTGGCAACCGAACCGATAGAACAAACAACCAGCCGGCTTGGGTAGCAACCGTAGATTTGTGTCGGGACTATATCTTGTGGAAGGATGAAATAGTATGAATAAATTCAACAAAATAACGTTTTTAATGAAAATATGTAAATCATTATTTGAATATGTTGGTAACCCGTTGTATAAAAATGATAATGCCCTCGAAGCTGGTGTTTGGCGGATATATTGGCACGGTTTGCCGGCCCGAGACTTTGTCTCGGGCCTAACAACACCCGTACCAATATATCCTCCAAACACCGGCTTCTAGGCCTTATCACTTAATTGTCCATATCTCTTGAATCGTTCTGATGAATTATACTGTATGTTATATACTGTATTCCAGGAGTACAAAAAGAAAACGACGCACATCCGAATGACAGGTACTGGTCTTTTTTCTATCCTACACACAGTGTTATAAAAGTGTAAGGGCATATTTCTGGTTCAGTCATGTAAAGTGGACATTTAGGAATTTCAGTGTTTCCCCACTTTACTAAGTTTAACGGTTTATTCTTGTTTCATAAGCTGTATGAAACACGGGGTGCAGTGATATGACTAACATATGATTCTAATTAGTTGTTCTCTTATACATAGGTCTGTACCTTCCCTGCCTGGGCTCGCAACACATAGTACACCATGTGATTTGAAGGTAGCTAGTGCATCTGTTCCTGCCAGGGCGCTGGTAAACAATTAACATCTTGCTGAGCTAGAATTGTTCCTACTAAAATCTGTCAGGCTTCAGCAGAATATTTTATGTGGTCTCATTTGAAATCTAAACGTGTCTCAAGCAATTAAGCAGCCCAGCCCAGTTCACTAAACAATCACAGCAGCTAGCTTAGTTGTGATCTTCTGTATTTTGCTTCCTCAGGGATTTCTGTAATTTACATTTTAGTCATTTAGCAGACACTCTTATCCAGAGCGACTTACAGTTAGCGAGTGCATACATTTTTCATACTGGCCCCCCGTGGGAAACGAACCCACAACCCTGGCGTTGCAAGCGCCATGCTCTACCAACTGAGCTACAGGGGACTCAAGGCTGGTGGTTTCCTGGGCATTTAAAATGTAAGTCTTTGCTGTCCAGCAAAGAGAAAAACCACAGGGACTATAGTGTTGAACTATTGCTCCATACGGAGCCCCCTCTGAACTGGTGTCTTGATGCGAGGTGAGACTTGGTTACAGAAAGACATCTCATAACTACTAGCTCAGACCTCCTGAGATGTCTTGTATTGTATGATACAACGATGAGATATGTAATATGTCTTCCCATGCAGGTCTCCTTTGATTACATCATAAACTATATCCACATCTCATGGGACAGTGCGCAAGCAAGCTGGGGCCAAAGACAGACCGCAGTGGAAGCAAATTGTTGCTGTCTTACAGTATGTCCCACCAGGGTTGAAGAGGACTAAGTTAGTACACATATTCAAAGAGTCATTATTTCTAAAATAAAATAAATATATGATTGTTAATATCTATACTTTACCTGGAAGGTCATCTTGTCCGTTTCTCATGGGAGGACAGACAGCTGTGTCCCCATCTAACCTGTTGAGATCTAACTCTGATGGAAAACACACAGAGACAGCAGCTTGGTTAGGATGTTTCTGTTCACAGCATTTACATTTTAGTCATTTAACAGACACTCTTATCCAGAGCGACTTACAGTAGTGAGTGGATACACAGGTATGTAGTACAGTATAAGATGCAAAAGATAACACCCTGGTCTCATAGACTAGACATAACAAATAAAAAATGTCAATTCGTGACACTCAAATTAGTATGTTACGTTTGGTATGGTTACATAAGACAGAAGGTTACTTAAGGCTGGGAAGGTGGGTGTATAATGCAAACATCTAGCAACCCAAAGGTTGTGTGTTCAAATCTGATCATGGACTACTTTACAGCTTAACACTAACCCCTAGCTAATGTTAGCCGCAATAAATTGGATTTCGTAACACCTGAGGTGATTTTTGAAATGTCCTTCTCAACTAAAGCTTTAACTGAACCTTGAAACAATGAGAGCAGAAACATTTGATAATGTTTAATTAAAGAGCCTTGCTCTACTGTAGTAGTATCATCTCAATGTGAAACTTATAAAGTATTCAACATTCAGAAAACAAATCTCCTCCTCTCCTCCTCCTGTTTGATACAGTGCCTTGCAAAAGTAGTAATCCCTCTTGGCGTTTTTCTTATTTTGTTGCATTACAACCTGTAATTTAAATGGATTTGTATTTGGATGTTTTTCATTGGCAGGGACTAGGAAACTGGTCAGATTTGAAGGAATGATGGATGGCGCTAAATACAGGGAAATTCTTGAGGGAAACCTGATTCAATCTTCCAGAGATTTGAGACTGGGACGTAGGTTCACCTTCCAGCAGGACAATGACCCTAAGCATAATGCTAAAGCAACACTCGAGTGGTTTAAGGGGAAACATTTAAATGTCTTGGAATGGCCTAGTCAAAGCCCAGACCTCAATCCAATTGAGAATCTGTGGTATGACTTCAAGATTGCTGTACACCAGTGGAACCCATCCAACTTGAAGGAGCTGGAGCAGTTTTGCCTTGAAGAATGGGCAAAAATCCCAGTGGCTAGATGTGCCAAGCTTATAGAGACATACCCCAAGAGACTTGCAGCTGTAATTGCTGCAAAAGGTGGCTCTACAAAGTATTGACTTTGTAGAGGGGGGGGGGGGGTGAATAGTTATGCACGCTCAAGTTTTCTTTTTTTTTTTTTTTATTCTTGTTTGATTCACAATAAAAAATATTTTGCATCTTCAAAGTGGTAGGCATGTTGTGTAAATCAAATGATACAAACCCCCCAAAAATCTATTTTAATTACAGGTTGTAAGGCAACAAAATAGGAAAAATGCCAAGGGGGGTGAATACTTTCGCAAGCCACTGTATGAGGGTGAAAACGCAGTGCAGGGGAAACTAGGAAACATAGATCTGGAAGTAATGAAATAACGCTGGGAGCCAGAGGCCTTCTAGACTCTGCTCCCAGAGTCAATAACCTGAGTCAGCTCATTTGGAGGTGCAGAGTGTGGAGGCAACACATCTGGAAGACCCTATCGGTTCCACCATAACTGCTGAGTAGAGGAGATACTTTGAGGAGATGGTATTTATCCTGTGTGTTTACTAGCCATAAACACTTCTCTCGCTGTGCAGTGTGAGCTGTAAGTCTATAACCACTCCCTCGCCAATACCCTGGGTTGTGTCCCAAATGGCACCCTATTCCCTATATAGTGCACTATTTTTTTTACCAGATCCCTACAGGCCCTGATCAAAAGTAGTGCACTATAGTGGGAATAGGGTGCCATTTGGGATGCTACCATGTGTTTTAGCAGCCTATTCATTACGCTAAATGAGCAGTAGATGGAGATGGACCTCAGCTCAGCTTTTACAACACCGCCGTCACGTGTGACTGAGTGCTATAATGGTGACTAGTGGATGTAAGCAGACCATTTCCAAAAGGAAAGTAATCTAGCTACCTATTAGACCACACATCATGTGCTTGTACTGCAACAGTAAACCGTGCTATAAGATGGCATTCACTTTACATGTAATAAGAATAACCATTTTGTTCGTTTACTGCTGTAAGTATACCCCAAGTCTGTATTGTATTTGTGTTGATGGTGAAAAACATCCCATAATGTGGATAGATGTGTTATTGCATTTCTCTGACAGCTCGCGAGAGAGGCTTATACAGATGTAGGATCTTAATTTGAGCCAGTTTGCTACACTTTGCTACATTATGTGGATAATAATTAATATCAATTTTTTGTAGGGGTTGATACATTTTTACGTGGAAATTACAAACTTTAGAAGCCTTTTTAAACCTCAAATACACTACAAGTTTGCATTTCCTGCTGTGCAGAACAACAACAGGATTAACAAATTAAGATACGGCATCTGTAACAATTAAGAAACTAGAGATTATCTGAATTAATCTTACAGACTAGTACAGTTGACTACACTACATCTGATGTTTCTGTCTTAATCATAGATTTGCATTTGTAATAAATGGAATGACTTGTGATAGTATTCTGAAACAACTTCCACATCCTAGTAGTACACCGTTACGTGTCCATCATGACCCTGAAGGCTTCTGGGTAACTTACGACCGAGGGCAGGAGAGAGTAGCAGAGAGAGGAGGGCCATGCAGGTAGAGGGGTACAGCAACCTCGCTGGGTGCCATGGTCGCTTCCTGAGAGAAGAGAGAGGGAGAGAAAGAGAGAAGGTGAGAGAGAGAGAGAGAGAGAGAGAGAGAGAGAGAGAGAGAGAGAGAGAGAGAGAGAGTGAGGGAGAGAGAGAGAGGGAGAGAGAGAGAGGGAGAGAGGGAGAGGGAGGGAGGGAGAGAGAGAGAGGGAGAGAGGGAGAGCGAGAGAAAAGACAGCTGGGTCAGTGATCTGATGTCTTCAGTCATCATGTCTACCATGTCTTTGGCCTGAATTAATAAAGCTTTAGAGTAGCGGCACATTAAAAGAGATTACAACTCACGTAGACACATAAATATTATCTGACAGAAGTGACATATGTGACATACTGATCATTACTGTATATGAACGATTACAATCAGTTTGATAGATGAAGACCTTATGACAACACAAGCACATGTTATCATGGAGCACCAGCAATACAGAAACCCATACATTTCTCCTTTGACATGTAATGGGGGAAACTGTGTCATGATGATGTTCATAAGCAGTCGGGTGTTGTTTTAGTTATGCCAGACACGAGTGTACATTGTCTAATACATTAGCTCAACTCCAGAATACGAATGTCTGTCCATACTAAGTAAGCTTACAGAAATAGTGGAGTAATAACTACACACAGTAAAGACAGACATTGTGTCGTAGAAAGACAGCCATTGTCATACATAGGCCTACACCACAGGAGGCTGCTTAGGGGAGGACGGCTCAGAATAATGGCCAGAACAGAGTGAATGGAATGGCACCTCCTGTGGCTTACACATGAATGTGTACTACATAAAACCACAACATTGTGTTGTGTGTCCTCAGACTCCACAGACTAAGAAATTAGACTGCACCACAGACAATTCTATCTCTTTCCCTCCCCTGGCCTTGTTTTCCTCAACCCTCCACAGCCTTTTCATCAGCCCTATCAGAAGGCTGACAGGCAGGGTGATATGGAGTGATGGGCCGAGGCACCAAGGCAGTGTGTAATGGCAGAGAGTGTATATGGAGGTCTATTTTAGAAAGAGAGATGATCAGTGGTGTGTTAAAGCTTTGATCTGCATTAGGAGAAACAGCGCCCCTCGGCACATTTGGTATTGCTTTTGTTTTGTTTATTAAACGGCAGTGAGGATCTCCAGCATCAAGAAGAAAAAAATGTGCAGTACATACTCTGCTGTTCTATCGCACGTGCAATGATGTCCGCAAATTGATTTTTGTTTGAAGTAACGTCTTTGTTGTTGTAATATCGCAAGCGAACGTGGCAGTTTCATCGCTACGGATTCCGACTTTAAGGAGACAGGGAAGACAGGGAGAGAGAGGTGGGTGCTGTCAGAGAAGTGACTAATGGCTTACTCAGCAAGGCCCCTACAGAGGAGAGAGGGAAGAGGCAGTTAGCCACTAACATATATATGCTTCACCATGGAGGATGCTGCCCAAATAACTACAGGCTGGCAGCCCTGCATCTCCCCATGCCCATCAATCTATCTACCTGGCAGCCAAGAACAGCCCTGACCTTATAATGGTTATGGGGAGGGCTTTCACTGACAGGAACCCTGGACCACAGTACAGTACACCCACCTTTACTGTGAAATGATCTTTCCCTGCACTTCCATGTGGGCACTAGTTGTGCTGAGCAGCTTTAGTGTGAGGCATGAGAGAGAGAGAGAGAGGGAGAGCTTTGCACATTGTTACAACACTGTATATATACATAATATGACATTTGAAATGTCTTTATTCTTTTGAAACTTCAGAGTGTAATGTTTACTGTTAATATTTATTGTTTATTTCACTTTTGTTTACTATCTACTTCACTTGCTTTGGCAATGTTAACACACGTTTCCCATGCCAATAAAGCCCTTAAATTGAAATTGAAATTGAAATTGAGAGAGAGAGAGAAAGAAAGAGAATACAATGTAGCACTAATAGGGGTTCATTCACAACAGAGATGTCCTTCTATGCTAACAGCTTTGGGGCATTTTAATTTGCATTTGTCCTTAGATCCAGTCTGATGCTGTAACATACAGGAAAGGAAAGCTTGGTGTTCTTTGATGCCTTGTGTACAATAGACTTCCAACCCCTGGAGATAAACTGTCACAGCAAGAAATAGCATCAAAAACATTCTGTCACTGATGGTCTGGGGAAAGCTTGACAGCTGTCTTAACATCAGCTCTTGAGCTGCAGAAAATATATTTGTAAAAGCAATTGTGTTTTGACTTTTTCCCATACTATGTTCTCAGGCCACAGATTAAACTATAAACCAAGTCAACAGGGAAACAACCTCAACAACTCTATTCTCAGGGGAAAATTTTTAATCAATATGCTGCATCTCAGCCAGAGTTTCTAGTCTATAGTACTGTGTCGTGAAAGGTCAAGGGCATTACTGATGAGAACATAAACATCTTCAAGATTGTGCCTCTTTCATCAAGAGCAATTACAACTCGGTGATCAGTCATTACTCTCTCTGAGTGAAAAGCACAGTGTGTGCTCTCCAGCATCCAGAGCTTGTTTGAATGTTTTCTGGCCTCCTCGCTGTGCCACTCATATGGCCTTGTCCCTCAGCGTCCCAGAGCCTGGACCGTGTAGTAAGCCAGCTCTCCTGGCGTGACTTCCATTGCTCTCATTTGTCTTAATTACACCAACTGGATCCCTGTTCCACTCTCTGCAGCTCAGCCTTACAAATTAAACCTATCACTCACTTTAATTAGTCAGCTAATAATTTGGGAGCATTCCACAGACAAAGCTTTAAGGCAATAAAAGTCAAAAATATGTGTGTGTGTGTGTGTGTGTGTGTGTCACTCTCGTCCCCACAGGGGTCAAAAGGTGACAGACCACAGGGGCTATTCGAGAGGCCAGACAGCTTTTTAACAGAGCCATAAGCCATGACAAAGACACAGTTGACCACCCCACTGGAGAGGTAAGGAGGAAAGGAAGTTTTGTTCTTAAGGTTTAACATCTTTTATTTTCCCCCTGTTTGAATACCCACAAAGCAAGGTTTATAGTCTGTGTGTGTGCGTGCATTCGGGCCAGATTATAAAGCTGTGCTATCTCAATCTTGGCCTCTGGCCATGGAGCTTCTATTAACCAGCCTCCAATATCACTGGTTAATTTTATGGCTGTATAAATTCAAGCACGAATATTTCCTATTTCTAATAAAAGATCTGCAAGGATTTGTCATTATTCTGGAGTGAGTCAATGATTCAGGGGAATCTAATACTAGAAATCTGATAGTAGAAATCATTAAGTTTTCATTACAAAATATATATTTTCAGATGAAATATCTCACTAAATGTATCAGTGATGAAATGAGTAGATTCCCACCGAGCACTGTTTCCCAAATCTCTCCTGTAGTACCCTCAGCCATTCCAGTTATTTGATGTATTCCAGTTGTAGCACACCTGATTCAACTGGTCAACTAATAACCAAGCCTCTCATTACAGTATTTGAATGGCGTAATCTGGCTCTGGAATGCATCAGATAAGTGGAATGGCTGAGGATACAAGAGGAAATGTTTGGGAAACACTGCTACTGAGAGAATGTCATACTGTTCATAATTTCCTAATTAGCAAGTCCTCAGACTAGAATGAATGAATCAATTAAAAATATATTATGTTAAGACAACAGTAAGCCTGACTAAACTCTTACCTCACGATTTCCCCACACCAAGGTCAGAGTCAAGTGGAACACACAAATATGCCAATCCACCCAGATATTACCACTTCAACATATAAATAACTACGTTAATAATACATGTATCATTCAAAAAGCTCTTACCTTGTCAAGAGAGCACAGTGGTGCTCCATGTTCTACTCCCGTCTAGGAGCGAGGGGTGACGCAGGGCTTTAAGAGCAGACAGACAGATAGACAGACAGACAGACAGACAGCAGTGGGTGAGGTAAAGGAGCAGAAGGAGCTAAAGACATGAACGTTAGGTTAGTTCCCCCTGAAGATCAGTCCTGGTGCTGGGAGAGCATGGTGAGGACTGACTGGTGGGACCAGGGCTGGGGATGCTCAAACTGGGACACATAAGACACATAAAACCTGCTTCAATGGGTTCCCATTGGACAGGAGCTATTCAGGAGGTGGCGACTCGGTTTTATTGCCAACACTTAAAAGACATGTTGGAGGCCTCTAGGCCTTCCCTTCCTCCTGTTACACCTTTTCTCCTCCTCCCTCCCTCTCTTTCTCTCCTTCACTGTGCCCCCTAATGATACTCTATGTGTTGGCTGTGTGTAATTATGTTAATAATTTTATGTTGCAGGTTAGGGATAGGGATAGAGGAGAGTGTAGAGTGATGGAGGACGGATAGTTTCATAATCGTGTAGGTCCTTTACTGTACCCGAAGAATGCCTCTATATTGTTGAGGTGAGAAAATACCTGGTTTTTAATTAAAAGGTCCTGGTCCACACAGACAGGGTTGATTGGTTTTACACATCGTATATGGAGTGTGATTGGCTTTTTAGAAGACTTGGTGATAGATATACTGTATGTTTAGCTGTTTGTCAAGTCCTAGGGACAACAACAAAAGGCCTGCAAATTTAACATTACACAATAATAGACTATTATGTCTCTCACAATATTCTTTATTGCATAGCTGTACATTATTGCATATCTGTCAAGTGAAATTGATCCTAACTGATTCAAGTACTGTATGTTTAGTCATAACTACATAATAGTCAATCAAAGAACTAGCTATCTTATCAAGTATCAGAGAGATCGCTAACCTCAAAGCCATCTGATACACTGCAGCCTGCTACGACCAATAATAAAAAGGTCAAAGATAAGATACTGTATTCACTTCTATATTACATTACACGAATCAATGATTATGAAGTTGCTACAACACAGTTTTCATTTTCTGCTGTAGGGTAACTTGATAGGCCTACAGTACAGTGACTGACTGAGTCCCCCAACTGAGTTGTGTGAGGTTGATCATATGTCCAGCTAGGTAATGGAGAACTTGTGACTTCAATGAAAGTACAGACCGATAGAAAGGGGGAGGAGAGAGGAGAGGAGAGAGAGAAAAGCCAAAACAACTTGTGATTATTCAGCCAGCCCAGACCTCATGACTAGCAGACTCATGACCTAATGAGTCATATTCACAACAGCCAGACAACAGCCTGGTCTGGTCCGTCCTGAGAGGAGAGGAACTCTCTGGGCTTTTACAACAACACGTTTAGACTTTAGCTCAGCTGGTTGACACAGTCTTATGGTGCGTAGGAGACTCAGGGTTTGAACTCAGTTGGTCAAACACACTAGGGCGACAGGTAGCCTAGCGGTTAGAGCATTGAGCCTGTAACTGAATGGTTGCTGGTTCAAATACCCAAGGTGAAAAATCTGTCAATGTGCCCTTGAGCAAGGCACTTAACCCTAATATGCTCCAGGGGTGCCGTACTACTATGGCTGACCCTGTAAAACATTTCATAGCATCTATCTGGTGTATGTTACAATAAAACATATATTTAGTGTAATTCTAATGGACTGTGTGTAGATCAAGTTTTGATAGATTGCTGGCAAGGGCCATTTACGGAGAACTCAATGAACCCATGCAGCCGAAACGGGTCTGAGTTTTTAAACTTTGTTTCCATTGAACATGCCATACAAATAAAGGCATTTTAATTAATTATATGAAGACTGCCTTGGTCCTCCTTTCTTTTTGATGAAAGCTAACTCTCTCTCCTCTGCTCTTGTCCTTCTAGACCTGTCTGCTGCCTTTGATACTGTGAACCATCAGATCCTCCTCTCCACCCTCTCCGGGCTGGGCATCTCCGGCGCGGCTCACTCCTGGATTGCGTCCTACCTGACCGGTCGCTCCTACCAAGTGGCGTGGCGAGAAGCTGTCTCCGCACCACGTGCTCTCACCACTGGTGTCCCCCAGGGCTCAGTTCTAGGCCCTCTCCTATTCTCCCTATACACCAAGTCACTCGGCTCTGTCATTTCCTCACATGGCCTCTCCTGTCATTGCTACGCTGACGATACACAACTAATCTTCTCCTTTCCCCCTTCTGATAACCAGGTGGCGAATCGCATCTCTGCATGTCTGGCAGACATATCAGTATGGATGACGGATCACCACCTCAAGCTGAACCTTGGCAAGACGGAGCTGCTCTTCCTCCCGGGGAAGGACTGCCCGTTCCATGATCTCGCCATCACGGTTGACAACTCCGTTGTGTCCTCCTCCCAGAGTGCGAAGAGTCTTGGCGTGACCCTGGACAACACCCTGTCGTTCTCCGCTAACATGCTCTACAACATTCGGAGAGTACGACCCTGCCTTACACAGGAAGCGGCACAGGTCCTAATCCAGGCACTTGTCATCTCCCGTCTGGATTACTGCAACTCGCTGTTGGCTGGGCTCCCTGCCTGTGCCATTAAACCCCTACAACTCATCCAGAATGCCGCAGCCCGTCTGGTGTTCAACCTTCCCAAGTTCTCTCACGTCACCCCGCTCCTCCGCACACTCCACTGGCTTCCAGTTGAAGCTCGCATCTGTTACAAGACCTTGGTGCTTGCCTATGGAGCTGTGAGGGGAACGGCACCTCCGTACCTTCAGGCTCTGATCAGTCCCTACATCCAAACGAGGGCACTGATCAGTCCCTACACCCAAACAGAAGGTGCTCTTTTACCAAAGAGCACCTTCTGTCTACCAAAATCTGTTATTGTGTACCTTAGCAGCGCTTCCCTTCCTTCGTTTTTTCTACCCCCATGTAAATGCTTCTATTTCTGTTGTAGACTAGTGTGTGAACTGTGTCCTATGGGTAGCCTTGTCCTGCACTGTAAAGGAATGATATGCAGCAAGTCAGTTTCAATGCCATCTCTGATGATGGTCTTGCTAAACACAGGACTTCTGTTTGAGAGAGAAAAACACATTTCACTCCGCAGGTCCTAACAGCACATATGAATAACTATATAGATAACTACAGGAAGTGTTTATACCTGTACCAGATAGTTCTAGATGCTTCTGGTCACATGACTCAGTATACACACCTGCAATCCCTCTTCTGTCGGCTGCATGGGGGATAATGATGGGTACAACCTGTTAGAGATTAACCCTGGGCCCTTAGATAAGACCTGTAGGCTATACCTGTGTACAGTAGGCTAAACCTGTGTACATCAGATCACGGAATAAAGCCTGAGCATGATAAGATACTGTAAATATACTGAACAAAAATATAAACACAACATGTAAAGTATTGGTCCCATGTTTCATGAGCTGAAATAAAAGATCCCCAAAAAAATGTATATGCACAAAAAGCTTATTTCTCTCAAATTTTGTGCACAAATTTGTTTACATCCCTGTTAGTGAGCATTTATCCTTTGCCAATATAATTCATCCACCTGAAAGTTGTGGCATATCAAGAAGCTGATTAAATAGCATGATCATTACACAGGTGCACCTTGTGCTTGGGACAATAAAAGGCCACTCTAGAATGTGCAGATTTGTCACACAACACAATGCCACAGATGTCTCAAGTTTTGAGGGAGCATGCAATTGGCATGCTGACTGCAGGAATGTCCACCAGAGCTGTTGCCAGAGAACTGAATGTACATTTCTCTACCATAAACTGCCTCCAATGTTGTTTTAGAGAATTTGGCAGTACGTCCAATCGGCCTTACAACTGCAGACCACGTGTATGGCGTTGTGTGGGTGAGTGGTTTGCTGATGTCAACGTTGTGAACAGAGTGCCCCATGGTGGCGGTGGGGTTATGGTATGGGCAGACATAAGCTACGGACAACCAACACAATTGCATTTTATCGATGGCAATTTGAATGCACAGAGATACCGTGATGAGATCCTGAGGTCCATTGTCGTGCCATTCATCCGCCACAATCACCTCATGTTTCAGCATGATAATGCACGGCCCCACGTTGCAAGGATCTGTACACAATTCCTGGAAGCTGAAAATGTCCTAGTTCTTCCATGGCCTGCATACTCACCAGACATGTCACCCATTGAGAATGTTTGGGACGCTCTTGATCAACGTGTACGACGGCGTGTTCCAGTTCCCGCCAATATCCAGCAACTTCGTCCAACCATTGAAGAGGAGTGGGACAACATTCTACAGGCCACAATCAACAGCCTGATCCACTCTATGCGAAGTAGATGTGTCGTGCTGCACGAGGTATCTGTGACCAACAGATGCATATCTGTATTCCCAGTCATGTGAAATCCATAGATTAGGGCCTAATTTATTTATTTCAATTGAGTGATTTCCTTATATGAACTGTAACTCAATAAAATCTTTGAAATTGTTGCATGTTGTTGTAAGGTAATGTCTACACCTGTTGTATTCGGCGCATGTGGCAAATACAATTTGATTTGATTTGATTTGATTTGATGTTGCGTTTCTATTTTTGTTTAGTGTATCTCTGCCTGTTCCAACCTTTACCAGGAATGAATATTTTTTGAAGTTTTTCTTGGGTAAACCCTATCACTGGATTACTGTCATTGTTGTTGAGCACCCCTCCTATGTATTTTGTTTACTGAAGCACAGAGGCCTACCTGAACTCATAACTCCATGACTTGTTGGCTATTTTGCTTCCCCATCCTGTAATAGCCTACTTGTTGTTATACACCAAACTAAGAAATGCTAACAATCCAATGACTGTAAACATAGCCTATTGTGTATTTATGTTGATAGTGCTGGTGAAAGTTGTCAGGTGGACTAGTTCATGGTTTTAATTTCTCAACCGGCAGTGACGTCAGCCCGTCAATTGTACGCACAGTGCGCAAGCAGGTAGGGGCCACTGCAGGACACTGCTAATATTCTCCCGAAACGATGTGTCAACCACCGGACAGAGGATAAACACGAAGCTAAACCACGAGACAGGCCAGGCGCACCACTTAGACTATTTGAACATTACTGTCATGATTGGGGAAACGTAAGCTAAGCTAGGAGGCTGTTCGCAAGTGGTTTGCACTGCAGAAGAAGAGGATACATGAGCTGAATGGATAACCATGGCAACAGCAGCAGCAGCAGCAGCAGCAGGAGAAGCGTTGAGCAGCAGTTTA